AGGGAGGAGGGGCAAGTGAAGTGCGGAGGGGCAGGTGCTTGGCAGCTGTGCGGGGCAGCCTCAGGTTCCGGGGTGGATTTCCACGCAGCGCTGAGACCCCCAGGGGGATAAAGAGCATCGGAACCTTAAGACTCCGCCTGCTGTGGGTGAACCTCGTGAACCCTTGTGTTGTCCCTAGGAGAACCCGCATCGCACCTGCACAGCTGTCCCCGGCAGTAAGGCTCCTGAAATTTATCGTTGAGGCTGCATTTGGTGGAACAGCAATCACAATTGTGACCATGGGCAAGAGCAGCAAGATGCCGCAGCACCATGACGATCGAATGCCACGCGTCCCCCAGAGCGCCGGATCTTCACTGACACCTCTGAGGCCTTTTGTCCAGCCAAGGAATTTGGTCCGCTGTGACTGTGAGGAGTTCAGGAAGACCAAGCCAAGGAGTGCAGAGCAGCCAGAATGGGAAGAAAGCGGTCCTGGGTCTGTCTTGGTACCCGTGTGGGTGGAAGGGCCGCCCCTGAGCAGTAAGTGTGCGGGGGCTGCAGGAGGTCCGGGTGGGAGGGCAGCTGGCCGAGGTGTGCCAATTCCCCAGGCCCGGCTGGATTAGCAGCACAGCCGAGGAGGGGCTCTACCCCAGCAGGTGACAACCCCTCGGGGAAGGGGACTATGGCGGCGGCGGCTGCTGCTGCTGCCACTATGACTGCCGGTATTGCTCCAGCCCCAGCCCAGTACCCACCAGAAAGGGGGCTTCACCGCTCCGGGAGGCGGAGCAGCCCCACCTCCAGTCACTGCGGCTCCTTCTGAGACCACCATGGGCCCGACATGGGCTTCCTCCTGCTCGAGGGACACCAACAGGCATGGCTCTCCAGGAGTGAGACCAGGTCTGCCTCCCCAAGACCCTGGGATGCTGTTGATCCGTCTCAGTTACTCCCCCCCACCTGTGCATCTTGTGAAATTATATAGATTGATCGCAAGCTTTTTGTCCCGTTTTTGCATTAAAAATAGCTAATAATAAATGCATAGAGCAACAGAGAAAAGAGAAAGATAATGCTAGTAGTTTAATTTTTTTTTTTTTTCTGGTGCTGGGGATTGAACTCAGGACCTTGTGCTTGCTAGGCAGGCATGGCACCATTGAGCTAAATCCCTGGCCCTAGTTTAAAAAAATTTTTTTTTTGTTTTTTGTACTGGGGATTGAACTTGGGACCTTGAGCTTAGGAGACAGGCTAAATCCTGGCCATAGTTTAAATTTTTAAAAAAATGAAAACTAGCAAATTTTGGCACATTTGGGGGGATCCTAAAATTTCTGTAAATAACAAATATAGACTACATGGAAATTTAAATTTAAGGGAAGGTTTAAATAGTAGTTTGGGTTGGATCTGAGGACATCGGCTAGATGAAGCTCAAAGAACAGAGGAAATAAAAGAATCAGAAAATTCAAGGGCAGAAACACAAAAGAGGCATCACATCACCCTTCCAGTAGGAGCTCAGGAGACCGAAGACAGGAAGAGGAAGGACTTCGGCCAGAAGGTGGGAGATGGGGACAAAGAGCCCCAGGACTCAGGAAGCACAAGGCCCAGGAACTGGGATGAACCAGAGTAAACCCACGCTTTTATTTTTCACTACTAGGGAACTAAACTGAGAGCCTCTGCACTGAGCAATATCCCCAGATCCTTTTTAAATTTTGGGTGTTTTGCTCTTTTGGTTTTGTTTCTGAATTTGTGATCCTCTTGCTTCGTGCTTCTGAAGCGCTTGTTTGTTTTGTCTTTTGAGTCAGGGTCTCCCTCTGTAATTCAGACTGGCCTTGAAACTCACTGTGTAGTCCAGGCTGACCTCAAACGCACAGCAATCCTCCTGTCTCAGCCTCCTAAGTGCTTCAGTGTCAGGCCTGTGCCACTATACCTGCCTTCAAAAGAAAATTTTAAAAAGGGTTGGGGTACAGCTCAAGCTTTCTGCTCACAACCTCAGCCACTCATGTGGCTTTGGGAGGTGGCTGGATCTAGGGCACACAATGCTGTTTGTTGTCACTGAAAGCTCTAGCTGGGAATTTAGCTCAGTGGTGCCACCACCTGCCTCGCAATCTCAAGGTCCTGAGTTTGATCCCCGGTACCAAAAAAAAGAAAAAAGAAAAAAAAGAGAGAAAAGAAAAGCTCTAAAATGTTCTCCGTCAGTGACCTAGGGTATGTAAATATGGATTAAGGGTGTGAGGCACTAAATTAGCCCCCTGATAAGGTTAGCGGTAGCTCTGGGTGTGGATTATGGGAGGTGTAAGTAGCACCAACCAATAGGCTTACAGCCTGGATGGGCTAAGAGAGAGAGTCACCTCGGCCTGCTGTTTCTCCAACATTCCCTTCTGTCCTGCCGTCCTGCTGTGGAGCCAACGAACTCTGGATGAACCTCTACAAACCATGAACGAGGATAAGACTCTCCCCTTCAGCTGGTGAGCGATCAGTGCTGTGTCCCAGCAGTGAAGAAAGCAACTAAGATGCCTAGCGCGCACGAGGCCCGGAGTTCAACCCCCAGCACTGCAAAAAACAAAGCAAAGTAAAATCCGAAATAAAATGTTCACTAGAGGAGTTCCATCTCATGAAATTTAAGAAGGTTTTGGCAATGTTGTTGTTGTTGTTTCTGAGTCAGGGTCTTGCTAGGAAGTTAGCTCACTACGTAGCCGCAGGCTGGCCTCTAACTCCAGGCAGTCCTCCTGCCTCAGCCTCCCACATGCTGGGATTGCAAGCCCAGCTCTTGTGGCCACTATGGATCTGTACACTTTTCCTTTCCATTATCTCTCTCCCCTATGTGGTTCTCTCTGTGCTCAATAATGTCCAACAGGTCTCAGGCTCTGTTCACATTTTCTTCATCCTTTTGTTTCTACTTCTCAGATTCTATAATCTCAATTTATTTGTCTTTAGAGTTGCTGATTCTTTTCCCTATAAACCAATTCAATCATCCAACTCAACCTTACAGAAACACGCCACCACTGATTCTCTTTTTTATTTTTTCAAACAGGGTCTCGGTATGTAACTCAGGCTGGCCTTGAACTCACTATGTAGCCCAGGCTGGCCTGGACCCTGTGGTGATCCTCCTGCTTCAGCCTCCCGAGTGCTGGGATTGCAGGTGTGTGCCACCACGCCCAGTTAGCTCTCCCTAATTTTAGTACAGGTGCTGCCGAAGCCAGCACAAGGTCTCCCTAATTTTAAAAGATGAAGATCATACTATGTCTCTCCTCTGACTAGAATAGGATAGAATTGAAAGCCAGAAGCTTCACAAGCATTTAGAGATTAGAGTGTGGCAAACTGGCTGGGAAGAGGGCCTGACCTGCAAGTGGTAAAGCCCAATCCGACCAGAGCAGTTCCCAAAGCCCTGAGTTTGGAGCCAATCACAGAGTGCCAGCTTCAGTTCTCCTGAGAGCTCAGGCAGGTTTCTGTTAGGACAGCCTAGACTGATGTTGTGTTGGCCTGGGGCAGACACCTGTGCCCAGGATAAGCAGGCCATGGCGGCACAGGCTTCCTGCCCCTCCGTAATTCGGCTGTGTCACCCTGGAAGTAGCAGGCTTGGCTGAGTTCACTCCCAGCCAAGGTCAACTGACTCCAGTTAAATCCTCCCCTCCGAAGTCACCGTTTGTTCTCTCAGCACAGACATGCTGGGCCCTCATTCTACGGTCCCGCCTGCTTGGTCCTTATCAGCGGGCTCCAAGGCCTGCCCAGCTTCCCCCGCTCCCACACTCGTAATGTCCTGGAGTCCTTTGTCCTTGCTGCGCAGAGCAGCTGAGATCAGCCCAGGACTCGGTTTCTCTCAAGTCTCTGTCTGTGCTTCTTTTCATCCCCGCTTTCCTATCTCATGGACATCGCTGGCTGGCAGGAGACCGGGACCCCTGCAGGGCCCTCTGGCGACTCCTCTTTCCCATCCCCTGTAGCTGGAGATGCAGAAGAGGGCCACCCTTGTGCTCAGGGCCACCGAGTTCTCCTTCACAGCAGTCCGCCCCCACCCTGCACAGGGCACTTGTTTTCCTACCTTTAATCGGCCCACACTTCGCTGTGCAGAGCCTGTTTCCTCCCCTACCTGTAGTAAACGTAAAACCTCGCTAGCTTTTGCACTTGCCTTGACTAAGTCTTTGCTCAGGACAGAATGAACCTAGAAAACACTTCTAGAAGGAGACTCTAGCACCCAAAACGTGGTAACATTCGGAAATTAGCCAACACACTGTTCAACGAATAGATCAAAGAAGAAATTACACAGGAAATAGATAAAAATCGAGGAATGAATGCAAAAATGGACCATATCCCAAGATTTACCAGCCATGCTGAAAGTCGTGCTTGGAGAAATGGCTGTAAATGCCTGCACTGACAAAGAAAAGACACATCAGGCCTCAAAGGCGGGAGGGTCAGAAGTTCAAAACCAGCCTGGGCTGCATGGTGATTTTGAAGTAGCTTGGGCTACATGGGACCCTGTTTTAATACCCACAAAAAGAAAGGGAAAAGAAAGCTCAGAGCAATAACTTAAACTTCCGCCTCACAGAACTAAAAAAGAAAGCACCAACTAAACTCCACGCCGGCAGAAGGAAGAAACTAAGAGATAAATGCAACAAAGAGTGGGTGAAAATAGAATCCATGAAATTAAAGTTGACAAGCACTTACTCAGGCTGACTGAGAAACAATCATTTTAAAAAGAGAGGACTGACAATACTAAAATCAGGAATAAAAGTGAGGGTTACCATAGACGCAGAGACAGAAAGGATTCAGGATGCTCTGAACAATTAGACGTCACCAAATTAGATACAAGGACAGGAAGTAAACACATTTCTAGGAACACACAAACTGCCAGAAAAGAAACAGAAAGTCTGAATAAATATATGATAAATAAAGAGATTGAGGCAGTAACCAAAAACAAACAAACAGAAACTTCCAAGAAAGTACAGCCCAGGACTAGCTGGCCTCCCTGGGAAATTCTACCAGACATTTAAACAAGAATTTATCTCAATCCTTTCTAACCTTTCCCCGAAGTATAGAGAACACTTCCTGATCATTTCAAGAGGCCACTGTTTCCCTGATACAAGCCAGACAAGCATAGCCGTAGAAATGAAAACCACAGCCAGGCGTGGTAGCGCATGCTGCTCATCCCATGGCTCAGGAGGCTGTGGCAGGAGGAGCACCACGAGTTCAAGGCCAGCCTGGGCTACACAGTGAGTTCAAGGCAAGCACGAACTACATAGCAGGCCCCTGTTTCAAAAGAAAGAAAAATCAGTAAATACATAATTTAAAAATGTGTGTGTGACACCTTGCTCGGCCAACTAACTCCCTCTCCCTCTCCCTCTCTCTCTCTCTCTCTCTCTCTCTCATCTGAGGCAGGCTCTTGCTGTGTCGTTCAGGCCTTGACCTCACTATGTAGCCCAAGCTGACCCCAAACTCACAGCGACCCTGCTGCTTCAGCCTCCGGAGTGCTGGGAGTACGGGTGAGCCCCACCACAGACGCCCCCGACTAACTTTAGTGCTCTTCCAATCGCTACTTCAAGTCAGCTCAGCTGACAGCTTACTTAGGGGGAAAAGACACCCGAGCCCCGCAGGGTGTCCCTGCATTGGGGACCTGGGGGTGGAAGCCGAGCCGAAGACTGACGGAGCAGGATGGGACCCTGTGCGTGTGGGTGGGGCGAGCAGAGCTGGGACGAGGGAAGGCGAGGGCGGGGCGGCCACCGCGGGCTCCTTCCTGCCGCCACCGTGTGCTGTCGCTTGAGGTCAAGGTGCCGGCGTGCAGGACTTCTGTGCCCCCGCAGGCCACGCGTGGTGGTGCAGTGTCCCCGCTGTCCCGCCTCGGCCGGAGGAGGTGTGCGGAGCCCGGGTACGCAGCGGGGGACATAGCGGGCGCCAGGTGGAGGCTGCGCGGAGAGAGGAAGCGCAGTCTCCGGGGCGCAGCAGGGTCGGCCACAGCGCCCGTCTGCT